TTTTTGGGGGGGGGGGGGAATCTTTCTTCAACCAGCCTAGGCTGGCTGCATTAGAGTAAGGCTGCAGCTGATTCTCTTCATACTGGGATAATTTTTTTTATTTTTTTTATTTTTTAATTGAGGAAGGGTGTCTGTTATAATTGATATTTTCCCATCATTCCCATGCAGCTCCCTGATCTTTGGTACTTACGGGTGGTCCTTCAGCAACGGGACAACCCAGCTTAAGGGAATGCTGTGAAGCCCGCTGTGTCTTGGTGCTCATGAGCTTTACACCTCTATGGGGGAACACAGCAGGGATTCAGGAATCACGGCTCATGGTCCCAGAGGTGCTATAGCTGCCTGCTGTTCCCCTCGAAGCATCAAGGGCATTTGTATCCAAAACCCAAGTCTGATGTTTCAAATACATGGTAGGCAGATTTGCCACCATTAAGTTCTCAATGCATGTTCCATTTCTGAGCTGTTTTTATCCTAATTGAAAATATTTTCTGTGCATAATTTAATGATCTCTTTGGGCCACCTTCCTCTTATAAAGCTGAGAGTGATGTTTGAGAAACAAACAAGGCAACCAGGCTGTCACACAGATTTCAGGTAGAATAATTCTACACTCCTTTCATAAAAATCTTCTGAAAGCAAACATCAAAAAAGCACAGAATATTTTTAAGAGAGGAAATTCCACTGTATTAAGGGAAAATTTTGTAGCCAGGCTAACCAACTAATAGCCTCATACTTTAATTAAGCAGTAACACAGTTGCTTTTAACCTAAACATAGGTTTTTTTTTTTCCTTTGGAGGCATAAGCGTTGGCAGTGCCTATGTTGAAGTGGCGTAGGACTAGGTGATGACTTCCCCCGGATGGGGGTCTGCAGGGAGGATGCCCAGTTGTGCATGCAGTGGCAATCCCTTCAAAAGAGAGAAGATCACCCAGCACCATCTCTTGCAATTCAGGAGAGACCTTCTCTGGCACTACAGCTGGTGGTGCTCCAGCCACAGGAGAACGGGCCAAGGGGCTGTGCCTCATGGGGTGCTGCTCCTCATGGGGTGCTGCCTACAGTATCCCTTGCTCAGACGGGTTTGCTTGGATGGCACCTCCTAAACTAGTGGGATGGGCCACCTGGCAAGGAACTCAGGCCCACATAGACTCCATCACCTCCTTGCGTGGTGATAGACAGGAGGGAAACCCCTTCCCACCACAGCTGAGAGCGAGCATGGAGAAAGTTCTCCATGACTGGAGCCCAGCAGGGCTTGGATATTTGAGCTCTGTGTGCTCTTCAGGGGATGTGTTTGCACTTTGCAAAGGATGTTATTGAAGTTCTCCAGGTGTAGAAAGAGGCAGTATATACCGACACTTAGAGAATTTGCAGGAATCATTCCCCTTCCTTTCACGCTGTTAACCTGTCCGTTTTCCATGTTTTGTCTCGTGTTTAGCCCCTCTTGTTGCTTTTATGGAACCCACTTGCCAGGCTGTTTACGCCCTTTGAGCATGTTATGAGCAAATTAAAAACAAATTGAGATCCAGTCAATAAGAAATCCCAGCAGAAGGATGTTAGCTAAAGCTATTTTCTCCAAAAATGGAGTTGACGGCTGTGGTTTCCATTGCATCCCCCATTTAACCCTTTTAATCATCCCAGATACCTTTAAATCCCCCTTCCTCTGCACTTTATCCACAACAACTAAAACACTAAAAGCGAGTCAGCCGTTGATATTAACATCAGCACTTTCCTTTTGTTTATTTTAAACTAACTGCTGTTGAATGGTGGAGATGAGTCGGATGTGTCGCATCCGGCATCTGAACCTTGATATTCCCAGAGTTGAGGGGGATTTACTTATCGTCCCTATTTATGAAGATATAAGATCTAACCTTGGGAAAATTCAAGGTCCTGCCAGTGCAGAGATTTGGCCAAGGGCTCCCATTACCAGATTTCTGATTTTGTTGCTGAAAGGGAGCAGAAGAAACGCTATTTTTGGAGAACCTCGATATATTCTGAGCTCGATGCTGCTCAGAAAGCCAGGTGAGAGCTCCTGGAAGGTAGAGAGGATTTTTAAGCATTTGGGCATAGTGTATAATAACTGTGTAAACATTAATATTGCTTAATTTGATGTCTTTTCCCCGTTTCCTTAAATTATATGTGTTAGTGCAAAAAAAGCTTTAGCTGCACTTGGAGATTTCCCCTGGCCAGAGGAAGCTGAGTAACGTAGGGAGAGGAATAGAGGTGGGAATGCAGATACGGGCTTAGAAATGATCTCCGGTACTGTAATGTAGTGTAATTAGATTATATGGGGTTTGGATAGCTTCATCTTTTATATTTGTATGGAGATTGGGAAAAATGAAGTAATTTGTAGTTTCTAGTATAAAGTAGTAATAGTGGAGAGAAGCACAGGTTTCACAAGGGGGTCCCAAAGGGGCCCTTTCGAAACGTCTCGGGGAGCCACGTTTGCACCTTAACAGGGAAAAAATGATCATTGTGGCTGGAGGGACTCAAGGTAAAGGAGGACAGCATTGGGGACCAAACTTGGGGCAGCTTGGCTTGGATAGGAGGCAACTTGCCCATCTGCATCTCATCGTCAAGCACATTCGTTTCCCCTCCAGTGGCTGCTACAGCGATGCATACATGGGATCTCTGGCTGTTAGTCTTGGATCCTCAGTTCAACATCTCCTTCCATTCTTGGTGATTTGTGGGCAAAATTTATTGCATAGAAAAATGTTTTTGGATGTTCTTGGTTTTGCTGCATGGTAGAAAAAAAAAACTGCTACAGATGAAAGTTCTTTTCAAGGTACAAAAACACTAAATTACCCCAAATTAAAAAGTACTGCAATGAGTTTTGACTTCTTAAATTCTAAGCTGCAAGAAAAAGGTTGGTTTGAATGGTTTTATTAGAAAATAATCTGCTGTTTGAAAAAATATAGAGGTAATAGAGCAAAATATCCAAAGCCGTAGGTAGGTAGATTTGTTGTATTATGATATTATAGGTTTTGTTTTGTTGTTTAGCGTGGGCCAGTTTTTAAAGTACATATCGAGTGATCTCATGACAGTTTACCTTGAGTTGACTGAATCACATGTTTTGTAGGGAGGTTCAAAGGGTTTTGGCCAAGATTTTCAGGAGCTGTGAATAGTTAATGTTTTGAGCGAAGAATTGCATCATTTCTGAAAAGAAAAGGTTGTTTTGGGGTTGGTTGTTTTCTTTTTTTGTAGAGCCATCTTAAGCCCCAGATCATGAGACATGCTTCTGGTCATCTTGACCCCAGTGTTTCATTTCAGGTGACAGCAATATGTGGGTGACTTAACTCCCATCGTTTACTACCGTTCCCTGAATGTTCAGGGGGACTTTTGCTTGTAGGCAAAGGAAATAAAAATGTCTTTGTGCATTTCAGCAATTTTAGCTGCTTCATCTCTATATGTCTGCCTGTCTCCCAAATCCCTGTGGCATATTCAAGCAGTAGCGGTCAGTTCTGTTGACAGGCAGAGCTTCAGCTTTCTCTTGGCCATGAACTTTCTGGATGTGTGTTTAGCTTCCAGTACTAAGGATTGACTGTTTTGCAGTGCTTCAGAGCTAGTAATTTTTACCTGTGTGTTATGTACTAAACGTGAAGGGGGGTGGGGGGTGGGGGTGGGAATGCTTACAGAGATCTAATGGCATGTGTTTGGGATGACCATGTTGCTTGCTGGCAGTGAATGCACCATCAGCTCTTTTGTGTATGCCCCGTTTTCCAGAACCAATTGGTGTTTTTTTTGTTTCTGAGAACTGAAGTAGCTGAAAACGCGTCCCTGGTCCTCTTGAATTACAAGGTATGGGGAGTAAAACCCCTCACAGCAGACACCTTGATAGTGTCTGATCTGCACTGAAGGCAAACCCCAAGCTCACACAGGACTGAGGAAGGGTTTTGGTGCTGAAGGTGGGTTGTTATTTGGCAACTAGTTCCCAGATCTGGGGATTGAGTTGAGTTGAATAGGTGAATGAAGTGCAGCCAAGGTAGTTTGAGTCCTAAGGTAAAAGTGGCGTATCACATGGAGGTCATTAACAGCACGTGCTTTGTGTTTGATGTGCATATGTGTGCTTATATACGCATATATGCTGTACATTTCCACCACATATTAGTGGTGGAAATGTATGCACGTTCATTTACACGTTAATCGAATTCTGTAGCTAGAGCCAGGTTTTCAGTTAGATGTTTCTAGACGGGCGAGTTTCCCAGTTTGACGAAGACCAGCCATTTCCAAGAGCGCAGGAGGCAGGCGCAGGATGGGGGACACATGCTCGAGGGATGGAGAGATGCAGGAAGATGAGGTACAGGCTTACTGTGGCTCTTGGGAGCCGTCAGACTCTCAGGACTCTCACAGGTGCCTGCCTCAGAGGTTTTAAAAATTTTAAGAATGGTTTTAAAACTTCAGCTTCTTCAGACAGCAGCACTTAACTTGAGAAAACCTTTTACGTGGACACCGGGACTGAAGTTAGCCCCCTTGCTTGAGAGAAGAAATCCCATCTCACCAGCCCTGGAAGTGTTATCATGGGAAACACCAGAGTAGGAGATTCCAAAGGTGAAAAGGACCGAGAACTTGCTGCTCAGAGGCCCTTTTTTATATAAATTTGCTTGAAACGCAGCTCACGGGCCAGTGGGCTGCCCTCCTGTAGCTGATTCAGCGATGCTTTGGGTCCTGCTGCTGTTTGTGAGGCTGTTGGGGGTAACAATGGTGAGATGTTTCTGAAGAGCATTCTCCAGGTCTGTCCTTCCTCAAGAGCAGCTCCTCATCCTCCCTTCCATGTGTTCTTGGCCATTAAGCTCTGGCCCCAGAATTTTGTCATGAGGGAGTCACAGACCTC